CTTTTGTTTGTTTAAGTGCCAAGCAGGGGCCTGATCCTCCCCAAGATGACAGCATCTGGCAGCTGGAATACCATGCTCTACTGAAGTGAAGCAAGGAGCAGTGACTTTATTTAGGGGCGAGTCACATCCGCCACTTCGTAGTGTTGCTAAACGGACATATGTGGCTATTTACAGGGAAGACGCTTGTAACACTGTCGCCGAACCATTTGCAGGAAGGGAAAATTCCCGAACAACTCAGCTGGCACCACGAGGAGGTTGTTCGGCAAGCCAGCCAATAAATTAATGTGTCAGCAGTACGCCGTAACGGCGCTTCGCTACCGTGCGACTACGACCAGTCGCATGCGGGCTGAGTATACCGCGAGGACACCAACCCCCAGGCGGATTAGAACCCGCGCCGAAAGATTATGAGACATGCTGTCTATCGCTAGGCGATGGGCCGATTCAGTTAGCCGGGATACGCATTTCCTTCCAGATATGTTAAAATAGTGAGGTCAATGCTTTGCAGAGGACCTCACCTCCATCCTTAAATAGTGCAGGTGGGAGGGAATCCGGGCAGCGGCACAAACGACTGGGTGCTGTGATCGCATCTCGGACCTCGGCCTTCGACGGAGACTCTGAACTAACCGGCCATGGCTCTTCCTGCATCATCTGACTAGGAAGAGGTCCGGGAGCAGGGAGCCAGCTGAACTGATCTTGACAGTGTTCCGCCCAACGAGCCATACGGTGCTCCTAATTGTGTATCAGTGCACCAGCGCTATCTGATTGTGGCACTGACGCCTGGTTTCCTGGGACCAGTGGTGCGGATCAGCTGGAAGAGCTTACAGTAATTGCCTACTGCTCCTGACCACTCCATTTCTTGAGCCTTACTGGTCCACCAGGCCTCCATGTCAGTACATAGGTCAGCTTTAGTTCACGCCTAATAGACCGTCTAGTCACATTGTGCTCAGAGTAAACCGAGTGGTTTCTTCTGGATTCCAACAGGTTCACCGACCTCTCGGATATCCACTGACTGGTGCGATGACGATTGATAGTGCCACAAACAAATGCTCCTGCGTCGTGCATTGCCGACAAGATCCTGTTCCACTGAAGCTCCTTGTCATTAGGACAAGACAGCGAAATTTGGGTGAGCAATGCGTCTTGATAGGCTTGCTTGACCGAGCACTGAGACAATTTCTCAATTGCCAATCAGAGGAGACGCTTGGTGTGCCACCCGGTGAAGTTCATGGAAAACGACAGCGTACCAAGGCATGATAAGAGTTGACGCAGGTATGCTAGTACGAGCGGTAGTGAAGGATGGAAACACGCCACCTGTAACTTATGGCAACGTGTTCAATTTGGGTCCATCGTTAGCCAGTTACAGGATGGCGCCAAGTGGCACTTCGGCGCCCAGCGTGTCTGAAAGCAGTGCTACTAAGAAACAGCTAGGGCTCCGCACATAGTTGCAGTCCGTTCGGAATTAGGCCCATAATTACCACCCAGCTGAGCTTCTGAAGAGCTCAGACGCCCTACTTGTGCGTTCATATCCCCGGCAAGTAATATCATAGCTGAACCAGTAGCACTGCGTAGTAGCGCGTTCAGTTAGTGATAGAATGTGTCCTTGACCGCATTAGAATTGCAGTCGATGGGAGCATAGGCGGAAATCACAAGCAAACAGCGTTTTGTACTACTGCCTAAATCAACCTTTGCTGATGTCGTCAAACAGACTGCAACTAAACGGCTGTTTACCGGAATCCAATCGACTAACGATGGATTAGCCTTGGAGATTAGAATGGTACCTACACCAGCTTAACCCGTGAGTGCTGCTTCGGAATCTCTGCATGCGTGCAACCAATAACGAGAACATAAGCCGGTGCAGTTAATTCAACAACCCCAATAGAGTCATTGACCCTAGTTTCGGACACATAACACACAACAATACCCAGTGTATCCAAGGTGCGTGCGAGTGCGGCCTGCTGACCTATTTGTCTTAGGGTGCAAACGTTGAATGTCACCATGGAAACGAGACAGCGGGACCTTATAAGGGACTTTTGCCGATGGGCGTCCCATGGGTGTCACGAGAAGGTGGCTGCAGGTGGTTCTACTCCAGTAGCACTTCGTTTGCTGTCAATTAAGTTGGGAATTATAGAAGGAATGTTAGTAATGGGGTTAGGATGGGAGTAAGAGAAACAGGTGGAAAATAAAAAGGGAGGCGCCAGCAGCAGCATGTTTTCGCTTATCCACCCTGATGTATGCAGCAGATAAGGCGACCCTTGATAATCTGCGTGACGGCCGATGCAGGATAAAATTTATGTTTGAAGAAAAAATCATGGTTGTTTGTGGGCTGAGATGTTGCCAGGACGCCCAGTCCTGGCACAAAAACCTGTCCGCAAGACAGCGGGGAGGTGGCAATGATTTACTTTTACAGAAATGGACGCCATCCTATTTTAAATCCCCAACCTGGAGGACCAGGAGACTGAGTTTTCTGACCTCTGACCGTTGACTAACCTGGTAGAATTAGCTCTCAAGGGTTGTGTTCCTGCTACTTTCAGAAAAATTGCTGCTGGCAGCCTGTAACGGGACATAGTGCAATGCTCTAGAAGAGTTAGGGCGGTTAGTACTGATTGGATCACCAGTTTAACAGCTTGGGAGCCTACGCCATATAGTTCGGTGATACGCGGATCTTTGTCAAGGAGGTGGCCACGACAATTTCGGGAGAAATGGCCCCACGCATTTAGTGCCATTGCTCCCGGTAGTGTACTTGAGCATCGTCGGTAGAGCGCCCAGTAATCTTAGGGACACCGCGAGCAATCACATTTGCCGTATCTTTACTTTTTATGTGCTTCCGTCTGTTAGTTTGATCCGCATCACGTTCTTCCTACAGGATTTAAGTTAGTATGAGCACTCCACTCGAAACTCTCCGAAGTCGATTCGCAGACAGCAGAGCGGCCTCTGTCTCACCCACCGAGGTTAGTGTTACTCGGATTAACCGTAGTGTAGTGCGCTTGCGTGACGTGAGATGCGTTTTAACGTCGCGGGATCAGCATGGACACCGATAGCCGTATAGATGGAACTCCATTGATTTCGATTGTATGTCAGCCTAGCCTCAATTGTATTGGATTTGTATTCCGGCAAGTTAGTGCACTCAAGATTTAAAGCACCACGGTTGCGCCTGGTGGCTACTGGGTTTGGAGCCTTATTTTCCGGCGCTTTTGGTGGATTTATAAAAGGCACTGATGGCGGCCATTCGCGCTACGACACTTCAGTTTTCTCTAATCCGGCCACCAAGATTACCGGTGTTCTTTACGGTTTGTGCTTGGCTGTAACCAATACGTATACTACCTGCTTCCTCACTATGGCTGGTTGCTTGCAGCTTAGCGTCTTATCTATAACGAATAAATTACTAGGTGTAACACACTGTAGAGAAGTTGAAGCGGACACGCTGCAGACCACATTTTTCCTTATGAGGAGAGAGAAGGGAGTTGGTACTGATTGAGACAGAGTCGTTGGGGTAATGTTGGGACGCCTGGCTCTCTTCCGGCTTGCATGGAGAATTTGGGTTGTTTTATCACATAAAAGTGCAGGTCCGTTTCCTCCCATTGGTATAACTCTGAGGCTCACAAGTTGTTCAATTGCTTCTATTAGTCTTTGACACAGCGTCAGTAGCAGAGTTAGACAGCTAACAACTTGGATAGCGCTGTACACTGGGCAGAACTAAAACGACTGTCGTTTTCATCGGTCCCATCCCAAGTCATTTATTGGTATAGGTTTTCAAGCAACTGCTGCACAGTAGCCCACTGTTCACCAGTTTAACGCATTATTCCCACGCCCTTAACATGAGGCATGTTTGCAGTGGACAGCACTTTTAAGGTCACGCGTTTGTTGGATTAGCAGTTAGTGCAGCTTCCCGCGCCAAGGATAAGCCTGAGTCAGCCTTTGTGTCGTGCTCGTTGTCACTAGTGCTTCCGTGTAACCACACGTTTCCATGTAGGTCGGTTGATCGATCGATGTTAGGCCCAGCTGGTTTGAGACCTAGTAAACGAATTTAAACGCAACGCTGAACACAGATGGAGAGATCACAAGTTCTTTCACAGTTGTCTTGAGAAACACCAGCTTGGAATAAGCTTAGTCATTTCGGACTGCCTCGAGAATACTTTATCGAATAGTGTCACAGAGAAGGGCCATCGGTTCAACATGCTTGCATTATTCGCTTGCATTTAATCATGGATGGCAGTTGACATGGTTATTGATGGTAAGGACTTTAATTGTAGAAGATAATTCCATGTTTATTGGATCACTGTGTAGGGCTGATAAATCCGGTTCGAATGAGGTTACGGTGACTATGCTGCGAGAAGCTGAAGAGAGGATAGAGAGGAATGATCCAAATGACCTGGGAGCGCGCGTGTCACGCTTGTGCATATGTGCGTATGTGTCAACGTGGCTCAATGTGGGTAAAGGTCACTCTTTTTGTTCATTTTTGGTGTACCATTCATTTCCGTGGGTAAGTTTATTTTCAAATTAGCAGTAAATAGTTGAATTTAAATTACTTCATTAATCAGTCGAACTAATGACCTTCAAAGGTATAACTTTAGCTGTCGATGAATGCATAGGCAAGTTACCTTTATTCCCAAGCGTCAAGGATTCAAACTTTGAATCATTTACTCTGCCACCAAGCAATGAACTATGTTATTTATCACCCTTGCGTTGACTAGTTAAAGAAAAGGCACCAATAATTTCGTATAGGATACAAAGGAGATCAGCTTGATCAGATCAAACTAACTTGGAGTTCCTGAGATGGGCATTTGATGTGCAAATCATTGCTCTCATATAATCTGAGACTATAGCGTGGCTTTCGCTAGTAGATTGGATGATATGCGATAAACTGCCAACAGAACTTGCTCAAACAAAATTTTCTCTAACCCTCACTTTCTCTAATCAGAAAACCAGTTGAGCCAGACCGGCAATATACTGTTCATTTATTAATATGGTCGCTCTTTCTATTCTTCCTATCGCCTTGGTACCAGATATCCCCCATCCACCGGTCAGCCTAAAATGCCTGGAGAAAGGAGCATACCATGCATTCTTACAGTGGTATCCACCCGCTGTTCCCATGAAGATATCCGGAAAACGTGTACCTTCTGCTGTGGTTGATTCCTACATGCTATTGGTAGCAGAGACGAATAGATCGGATATAAAGGATGCAAAAATGCAGATAACTGACATTCCTGCAAAACAGCATCATCCAGACGGTTCATTGCAGTACAAATTGCTGAATCTTAAACCCTACACAAGCTATACAGCTGAGGCAGTGGCTGTAAGCAATCTCCTTGGATTGTCTGATCCGAGCAACTCGGTGAAGTTTACAACTGCTGAAGCTGGTGAGTCTTATTAGCAGCTCTACACCTTCGTTCAGAGAGACGTAAAACAGTCATCTTTATGCGTTCAAATCCTCAGTAGGTAACATTGTAGTAGCAGTCTTGCCAGCAGGTTTTTTGATTTAGCATTAAAAAGGTGGAAAAACCACCTGTCTTTTGCAGTTGAATTTGCTATCAATGCAACACAGTTGAAATCATTAACCTATAAGCGTTGATAGCACATGATCTACTGAAGGGCATTTTTAAGAGTTAACTGCTCTGCAACGTTAAAATAGCTCTTATCGCAGCCTGCAACATAGCTGAATAGCGTGAGTTGTGCGCTATCAGAAGGTTACTCTTGCACAACATCAAAATGCATCCATCCAGTTTTGAGTTGTGGTCAATTAAAGCATGGGGAGGTGTGGAAATAATGCCCCATTTCCGAAGGATACCACAAATTTGACTGATTGACGAGGCCATGGGCTAACAAGTGTTTTCCGTCATTCAACATTAAACCTATCTCATAATGTATAGGGAGACAAGAAGCAAACTAGTCTCAATTAGCTCGCATTGTATAGGTTACATGCCGCTTAGCGTCAGAGACCTACGGCAGAACTAGTAGGTACTTTCATGCAATACCGTCAGCCCAAAGCATTTGATAGTACCTTTCATTTTCACTGGCTATAGAATCTGAAGTGCTTATTTTGCATGCATTAATATGGTTGAAACAGTTGAATGTAGATTTCTTTCTCTGTCGAAAGTGTACAAAGGTGCCGACCTTTCAATCTTTGCCGGGAACCCTGTACACTACTGCAAAGACGCGCTTTGAACTCATCTGTCACTTATTGTCCATGATTTGCGCCAAAAATAACCGTTAATAACCCCGCTGCCACCTTGACACAACCAACTTCCGTGGTCCGCATTCAGACATTTGGATGATTGCAGCTCCATTCGACCGATACATCTCGTGTCACAGGCGCACTCGAATTGACGATTTTAACCATGGAGGTGGTCAGCCGCGGCAACAACCCTAGTTTCGGGAACAAACAAGTGGTTCCGTTCAAAATGCGCACTTCGTTGCAGAAGTTGCGAAGATCAAGTTACCTGCGGCTAATAAGGTTGTGGTCGAAATTTCGGTAGCCGTATTCCCTTTGACTCCTTTTCTTCGCCTTCGTTAAAGCGAATGCTAGTTTAGGGTTTTCTTAGTGCCGTTTGTGACTGATCTTCCAGGATGTCAATTGCTGCACAGGATATTTTATATAAACCTCAGTCCCGCATCCAGTGTGTCTTCCAAGCAAATCCAGTATGTCTGAGATGAAACAGCAATTGAAGCTATGCTTATATCTAAAAAGAACGAACATGACTAATCCACGTTGTACTTCTGTACAACGAACAATGAACAATGCTTTATCACGGGTAACAAGCAGTTGCTTGCCAAGTCTCACAGGATGGTAGGGGTACAACTACAATATCAAAAGACATGTAAGTTGTTCCTCTGAACATCTGTCGAGCAGATAAGCCGCTGAGTAATAGTAGTATAAGTAGGAATTGTATGCGAATGACGAGGCAGCATGAGGGAAGTTATGATTGTTGTACTCCGTGAGCAAAGAATAAACGTCAATACTCACTTCTGTACCGCCTCCTCAGGTTTATGTGACATTAATCCGGCTTAAAGGGATAATTAATACCTTCCAAAGTGGCACAGTTTAGTCAAGGAAGTGATGGAGGCCAAGGGCAAGATCAAATAATTTTTTTGTAAATTTCCCAGGTGGGGTATCAAACAACTGTAGTTGGGGGAGAATTCTAAGGTTGACACACCCAAGGAGCAAAATCATTTCGCCGGCATTCCAGGCGGCTAAACTCTGCACATAATTTCAATGGGTTATCTCTGAGATTGGTGTTATGGATGAGCTTTAGCAAGTGACGGCATATGCGATTGGGGTCCCACAATATTTGATAGACTACTATGAGATCCGATCTGCTTCATCGTAGCTTTCGGCAGCTGCCACTGTAAATTTTCATTGTCTTCAGCTTTTGCAAGTAGGACAGATTTCCTAGGCCCTTGACGTTCTTTGTGGTCCTGTGTTGTGGTTTCTTTAGCTCTTCTAACTCGCGCCTCAACCGAGGTTGCCAAGCTTGGATGGCGTATTCAAGTTCAGGGCGCAAGTAAGTATTGTTGATCATGCGGAAAGTGGATGGGCCGAAAATTCAGAATGTTCTCCACAGCAAGCCCACGTGCTGGTTGACTCTCTTCGCAGCTGCCTCTGACTGCTTTGAACAGTTAAAGTCACTTTAAAGTGGTTTACAATACATGTGACCCAGGCCTATGCACCTTTTCATGCCTAGGGCGCAATTGAATAGCGCGAGGTTTTTCCACATTGAACGGTAGTGTATTCTGAAATGACCAGCTCGAAATGGTACTGATGTCACGCTGGAGCATTTCTTTGTCCTTCGGTTCCATGACAGCCTGACATAACTTGATATCATCTGCGAAGAATAGGAAGTCGAAATTAATCAAGAATAGACGAGGCTGATGCAGCGGGACTTGTGGTAAACCGCACTCCATCTCCATTGCGTCGGACGTGGGTTCTCGTATTCTCACCTCTAACCGACGTTCATGCAAGGAATTGCCTATCCAATGCAACAGTGGGCCACCAGCTATACAGCTGAAGTTTATGGAGGATAATTCGGCGATCTAAGCGATAAGAGCTTATGAGAATTCCAGGTCGATTACCTCGACTCCTGTTCCACTATCAACTGCTTCAGTCCAGGTATTGCGTGCAATTAACAGGTTCGTAGTGCATGCGCGATTTTGTCGGAAGCCATGTTGCTCTGGTGCTATCAACTTGTGAGTTTCTAGGTAATGCATGATTGCACCAGCGATGATAAACTCTATAAGCTTGGAAAGCACATGATATAGTATTGTCGGACGGTAATTGGTTGCGTCAGTACGACTAACTCCATTGTGAATAGGAATGATGACCCCTCGTTTCCAGTTTGTTGGAATATGGTTCTCCACCCTACAGGGTTGTTAGAATATAGCCAGTGGCTCCGTCAGACTACTGGCTGTTTTTTGTAAATCTATCAGCCAAATGTTATCGACACCTGAAGAGCTATAGATATGCAGGGACAATAGTTTCTTTGACACAGTTACTGCAATAAAAGTGATTTTGAATAAGGCGGGTCAATAGAAACAGGAATAACCCTTGGGCCCGTTATTCTATGGAACCTTTGTGAGTAATAAAACCGTAAGAGATCGGCGGCTTCCGTTACTGATCGCGTGTAGCCGTCAGTCGTGATCAGTACTGGAATTCCGCGTTGCACCTTATGATGGCTATTAATATGCCTGCATAATAATTTTAGGTTCGTGATGAATATCTTAATTAACTCCTGCTGATTTGTCATCTTGTTCTTGCGAATCAAGATCACACAGAAGTTCCGGTGTGTCATATAGGCAGTCCAGGTATCGGAATTCGGGAAGTCTTTATGCTAAGTCCCTCAAGGACATGCACTTACGTGTTCTGCTCCTCAGAAACGAGTTGCTTCGCCTTTGACGATGGAAGGAGTTCTGTTCAGACGCGTGCATTACCAGTATGCTAAATGTCCTTGTGAAAGTGTCCCAGACGATTTCTGGGGGGCAATCAGTTAAGAAGGATTAAGTTACCTCCTTAACAAGCTTGGACAGTACGCTTTAGTGCGTGACCGTATACACTTTATCATACTCTTCTTCAGGATATGCCGCATAACATACATAGTTGAACAGTAGAGTCAAATGGTCCCTGCGACCAAGTGGTGTACTTGTAGTTATTCCGTCGAGCATGAGTTCTTCGCTGATGAGCACAAGATCAAGTATCGACGGCCTGTTAGCAGTTCGAACTCTAGTTGGAGAGGTCGCGCGATTGTAGAGAGGGTAACTAGAAATTACCTCTGTAAACAGGCTTGAAACTGCATGCTATCGGTCGCCGCTATTTCCAGATCGCGCACGTTAAAGTCGCCTGCAATGAGAATGTGACTGTATGACTTGCTCTAAGCAACTTGAAGAACGTGGTTCAGTTTGGAGTCCATTTCACACGTAGCGTTTGGTGGATGGTATATCGCAGCTATAGGACATGTATCCTTGTTCCGTAACCATAGCCGGTACCAAAGCGAATCTGGAGCACAAATTTCTGGGTAGTAATAAGTTCACATCGGAGCTTAGCCTTGTGTTACGGAATTACTCCACCACATCTTCCAGCTCTATCACTCCGAAGCAGTAATTTAGCAGATAAATTGACTACAGGATCTGCTATCTCAAGGAGTAACCAGATCTTGGTATTCATGATGAGATCCCGCAGTTGTGACGCCTGGCGTCCTCTAAGTTCGACCAACTTACTAAGGTCTCGGGTCTTAGTATACAAAACAGATTGTGTTTTTAATGTTAGAAGTTTGTGCATGGACAACCAATTCGTGTTTAATTTTAAGCCGAGCGTGCGTCGGTCGGCCGCTAATGGTTTTTTGTGTGAGTCACTGGTCTTGAATTTCAGACAGACTGCATGCTAGAACGGAGCATTCCAGATCGAGATGTTCTTTCGTGTGTCGCTTTGTCCTGTCAGGTGTCGCGAATGTTATATATTTTCTACAAATCTGCAGGATTGTAGGGGCAAACATTTTACTGAGGTTACGTGTTCCGATGAATTGCTGACAACTAGCGGCCGTGCACCTGTTATCTTAGGCTCCTAATGGAAGGTAAGTTGGAGTGATGCTTCAACTAGCTGAATAATAGGGCATCTGTCATTCCTTTGGAGTGTAGCATGATCTCCAATAGTTTTAGACCGCAGCCCTTGCAGTTTGGAGATGAAGTTCTCGTTAGTGATCGATTGATAACGTCGTCCAGAGAGTGTGCTTCGCAGTTTAGGGTCACCGCTCATGGTCATGTATCTGCGCTACGTGATCAGGAGTATCCGGTATTTCAGGAACACCATGAACAAATCCGGCCTTCCTCGTCTCGTTCGTAGAATGGCCGCAATCGTTATCTTTTCCTTTGA